GCCGAATCAACTAGCCCTGAAAATGGATGGCGCTCAAGCGTCGTACCTATACTCGCTGTGTGTGGAAGAAAGCGAGCGAAGCGAGCATTCGTGCTTGTTGCGTCTCAAACTACATGTAGCCACACACAAGTAGGTGGGCGTGGAGGTGTTTGCGTGAGAGCAATCTTTTGAACAAGCCGTGGAAGCCTGTGGCGTGAGCCTGGGTGGAGGGGCCTCCAGTGCAGATCTTGGTGACAGTAGCAACGATTCAAATGAGAGCTTTGAAGACTGAAGTGGAGCAAGGTTCCGTGGGAACAGCAGTTGGCCACGGGTGAGTCGGTCCTAAGAGATGGGGCAGTCCTGTGTCAAGTGGGGAGTTGTTGCGTGTGTGTGGGTGGTGGTGATATTATCGCCATGCTTGCACACGTGTTGATTACCCCAGTCCATCGAAAGGGAACCAGGTTAAGATTCCTGGACCAACGCACGCCACAAAGAATGTTTTGATAGAGCAGCGGCAACGCGTACAAACTCGGAGACGCTGCCGGGGGCCCTGGAAAGAGTTTTCTTTTCTTTTTAACGAGCCGCATTGTGGGGGGGAATAGGGGGAATAGTGTTAGTTTATTCTGCGCTCTTCAACCTTCCTCCTCGCATTCTCTGACCCTGGAATCAGTTTGGCTGGAGATGGGGTGAGAGGCTCGGCAAAGCACCACTGACCTCTTTTTGTTGTGGTGTCCGGCGCGTTCCCGGCGGTCCATGAAAATCCGAGGGTGTGAATGGTAGCAGTGTGGGGGGAAGAAGAGAAGCACTTGTGCTAATCTATTTTCTCCGCTGCATGTGGGCATGGTTGGCCGTACTGATAACCGCAGCAGGTCTCCAAGGTGAAGAGCCTCTAGTTTGATAGACGAATGTAGGTAAGGGAAGTCGGCAAAATAGATCCGTAAGCTCGCGATAAGGATTGGCTCAAGAGGTTGATTGTGTGTGTGGGGGGTGGCGGTGAAAGGGGGTGTGTGTGTGTTTTCATACACGCTTCCATTGGCACTCTTACTGTCTGCGCACACTATTTTTTAGCAACCGATCTTGAACTGGTACGGACAAGGGGAATCCGACTGTTTACTTAAAACAAAGCATTGCGAGGATAGGCTGTTGCGACGGTGTAGACGCAATGTGATTTCTGCCCAGTGCTCAGAATGTCAACGTGAAGAAATTCAAGCCAAGCGCGGGATCAACGGCGGAAGTAACTATGACTTTCTTAAGGTAGCCAAATGCCTCGTCATTTAACTGGTGACGCGCATGAATGGATTAACGAGATTCCCACTGTCCCTATCTACGCTCTAGCGAAACCGCAGCCAAGGGAACGGACTTGGCACAATCAGCGGGGAAAGAAGACCCGCTAGAGCTTGACTCTAGTCCGACCGTGTGAAAAGACACCAGAGGTGTAGCATAGGTGGGAGCAGGTGTGGGTTTACTTGTGCTTGCGGCCTTGAAATACCACTACTCTGGTCGTTTTTTTGCTTATTGAATGACACGGGGCTGGTGTGGGTGATTGTGGTGTGCGTAGCGCGCATTTCTTGTGTGAGCTGTGCGCACCCGATCACACATGTGCACCATTTCTGGAGAAAGGGAGGGCAGCGTGGAGTGTTTGTGCACTTTATGTTATGCCGATCCCGACCCGCTTTCAAGACGAGGTCAGGTGGGGAGTTTGGCTGGGGCGGCACATCTGTAAAACGATAACGCAGGTGTCCCAAGGTGAGCTCAATGAGAACGGAAATCTCATGTGGAGTAAAAGGACAAAAGCTCACTTGATTTTGTGATTTTCAGGATGAATACAAACTGTGAAAGCATGGCCTATCGATCCTTTAGTCGCGGCGGATAAGAGTGAACAACGCACTCGTGCGTCTAAGCTCCCATTCTGCACTGCGCCTGTTGACAGCTTCAACCTAGAGGTGTCCGAAAAGTTACCGGCGGGATAACTGGCTTGTGGCAGCCAAGCGTTCATAGCGACGTTGCTTTTTGATCCTTCGATGTCGACTCTTCCTATCATTGTGAAGCAGAATTCACCAAGTGTTGGATTGTTCACCCACTAATAGGGAACGTGAGTTGGGTTTAGACCGTCGTGAGACAGGTTAGTTTTACCCTACTGATGATATTTATGACTTACACAGTTGTGATAGTAATTCAACTCAGTACGAGAGGAACCGTTGATTCGGATAGTTGGTTCATGCGGTTGGCTGAGGAGCCAGGGCCGCGACGCTATCATCCGTAGGATTATGACTGAACGCCTCTAAGTCAGAATCCATGCTAGATTTGCGCAGCTGTACTGTTGCTGGTGGTGGCATGTAAAAGTGTTGCTGCCAGTGGTTTTTGGTTTCTCTTCGAGATTTGATGGTGGTGGTGTGTTGTGGTGCCTCGTGTGCTGCAGTGCACTGTCATTTATTGTAATAGCAGGCGAACAGGAATAGGTGTGCACATTCTTGTGTGCATGCTCTGCGTCGGAAGTAAGCTTTATTTTGTGCACCTACACAACTTGCAGCTGCCTGGAAGCGGGCTTGGCTGTGTGTGTGGGTGTGATCTCTCACGAGAGAAAGCGCGCATCTTGAAGGGGTTGATCCTTTGCAGACGACTTAATGGGCGAGGTGTTGTGAGCAGTAGAGTAGCCTTGCTGCTACGATCTGCTGAGACTCTGCCTTGGGCGCTGCGCCAGCAATGGCACAGTCCCGCAGTGGTGAAATCCGCTGTGCCGTTGGATTATTTGGGGAGTGTTGTTGTGTTGGTGTTGGTTGGTGTGTTGTGCTGTCGTTGTGGTGGAGTGAGAGGATTGTGGTTGCTGTGTTGCTGTTGTGAGAGGAGTATCCGGAGTGGTGTGGAGAGGGGTGCAGTATTGTTGTGCATTGTGGAGTAGTGTAGTGGCGTGAATGGTTGTGCTGTTGTGAATGTGACAGTGCTTCATTTGTGTGTGTGTGTGGGGCTTGCCCTGGTAGTATAGAGGGTATAGTGGTGGGGTGTAGTGGCTGTGGGAGCAGTGTGGATTTTGTGGGCAGTTTTTGCTGCAGTGTCCGGAGTGGTGTGAAGGAGGATGGTGTGTGTGAAGCATTGTAGTGTTGAAATGGGGCAGAATGTAGTGCTCTTTTTGTGCCGTGAAGAGTATCCGGAGTGGTGAGAAGTGGAATGATGAGGGTGTGTACGACGTAGTGTGGATGGTGTGATCATTGTAGTGTTGGAATGGACCAGAAAGTGTTTGTTCTGTCCAGTGAAGAGTATCCGGAGTGGTGTGAAGGAGGGTGGTATGAGTGTAGTGTGGATTGTGTGAGGGAAAGGAGCAAAGCAATGTGATTGTAGTGCCTCAAAGGAAAGAGCAGAGCTACTACGTGCGCCAAAACAGCGTGCTTCCACTGCAGCAGCAGCCAGGGGGCAAGTGCATTCTGCAGCACCCGGCAGCAAGCAAGGGAAGCAAGCGTGGTTGGTCACGTGAAAACGGCCAAAACGGCCAGGCAAAGCAGAGGAAAAGAAGCAGAAAGGAGAAAGCAGGCAGGAGAGGCGCAGGAGCAAGCAGGGAAGAGAAAAGCAAGAGATGCATGCATGCATGAAAGGAATGTGGCTGCGGTGTGTGGGAGCAGTGGGGGAGGAATAGGGGGTGAGAAAGGGAAGCAGATAATGCTGTAGAGAGCAGTACGGGAGG